ACCGATATCATTCTATAGTCTGAGCCTTCTGTTTGTGTCACCTTTCTTTGGAATGGGCACAAATATGGATCTCTTCCAGTCAGTTGGCCAGGTAACTACCTTCGAAATTTCCTGGCATAGATGAATGAGTGCTTCCAGTTCTTCTATAGCTTTCTGAAACACTTCATTGGGTATTCTGTCAATTCTTGGAGTCTTGTTTTTGGCTAATGCATTCAATACCATTTTAACTTCTTCCTTCAGTATCATTGCTTCTTGATCCTATGCTACCTCCTGAAATGGTGGAATGCCAACTAGTTCTTTTTGGTGCAGTAACTGTACATTCTTTGCCTCATCTCTTGATGCTTCCTGAAACATTCAATATTTTGTCTATAGAATCTTTCAAAATTTCATTTTGAGGGTTGAATTTTTTCTTCATTCTTTCAGTTTCAGATAGGCTAATTCTAGAACCTTGCACATTTCATTATACTATTTGGCTTTGTCTTCTTGAGTTGCCCGTTGAAATTTTCTATTCAAACTCCTTGACTTCATCCTTTTTTCCATTTGCTTTAGCTTCTCAATGATTAATACCAAGTTTCAAAATCTTTTCTGATGTTGACTTTAATCTTTTCTTTCTTTCCTATTTTTTAATGATCTTTTTCTTTCTTCATGAATGATGGTCTTAATGTCCTCTGATGGCTCATCAGGTGTTCTGTAATTAGTGTTCAATGTGTCAAACCTGTTCTTAAGATGTTCTCAAAATTCAGGTGGGATAGACTGAAGGTCATATTTTGGCTCCGGTGGACTTATATTCATTTTCGTCAGCTTTATCCTGAACTTACATATTATCAACTGATAGTCTGTTCCACAGTTGGTCTGGTTTTAGCTGCTGATATTGAACTTCTCCAGTGTCTCTTCCCACAGAGGCTGTCAATTTAATTTCTGTGTATTCCATCTGGGGAAGTTCTGTGTATGGTCCCTTTTGAATTGTTGAAAAAGCTATTTGATATGAATGAGTTATTGATCTTGCAAAATTTTATCAGCTTCCTTTCTATCACGATGTCCATATTTTCCAACTATTGTTCTTTCTTCTTTGTTTCCAGCTTTTGCATTCCACTCACCAGCAACAATTAATGCATCGTTAGCTTTGTGGTTGGTGCATAAAGCTAAATAATAGTTGTATTGATTGGATTTCCTTGAAGCTGGATAGATATAATCTGATTACATATAGTGTTGTCTTTCATGATAGACTTAACAAGATCCTTTCTGACAATGAATGCCAAGCCATTTCTCTTGATTGTGTTATTCCCAGCATAGTAAATCATATGTTTTACTGATTCAAAATGGCCAATATCAGTCCATTTCAACTCAAATGCCTAGGATATTGATTTCATGCTTTCCATTTCATTTTTGACCACTTCCAACTTCCCTAAATTCATACTTTGCATATTCCAAGTTCCAATTATTAGAAGATTTTTGCAGCTGTTTCTCTTTACCTTGAGTCATGCCTTATCAGCAATTGAAGAGCCCTAAGTCTCCACTCCCACAGACTTTACCAGACTCATATCACCATGGTTGACTCCCTCCAAAAAATCAGCTCCTCTTCAGTTACATTTCAGATGGACTAAAGAGGTCCATCTGCCAGCAGTATCTCCAACAATGTACTACTTCCTTGGCTTAGGCTTTCAGTATTTGAAAATGCTTTGAGGCTAGGCATAAGGTTTTCAGCGGCTTTTTCCTCAGACGTGGGGAGTCAAGTTCTTCTTCAATGTCTGGTCTTAGTCTGGAAGTTCTGCTGAAACCAGTTCACTTTGGTGACCTTGCTGGCATTTGAAATACCAGTGACATACTTCCAGCATCACAGCAACACACAAGTCACCACAGTTTGACAAACTGACAGACAAGTGGTGGAAATGGAAATGTAGCACTTAGCTGTTAATACATTTTATCCTATGTTGGCAGAGAACATTCGAAGATGTGCTTGTTTTTAAGTGCTTGCAAGTTGGCTCTACCACATAACAACTTCATGGACAACAGAATGAAACACTATGGGTCTTCCACCATCCTCAACCTTTTTTAATAATTTAGTCCATATTACAGTAATGGTGTCAAAGTATTTCCTTGGGAGTTTTCCTCTTTTGCAGATCCTCTACTTTACCAAGCATGATGTCTTTTTTAAAGGACTGGTCTTTCCATATAACATGTTCAAAGTACCAGAGATGAAGTCTTAACATCCTAATTTTAAGAAGCAGTCTGAAAATAATACTTCCAAAATAGATTTGTTTGTTCTTCTGGAAGTCCGTGGTACTTTAAATAATCTTTGCCAACACCATAACTGAAACACATCCATGTCCTATGGTTTTCCTCACTCACTGTCCAGCTTTCCTATGCATGTGAGGTCATTGAAAATATCATGACTTGGATCAGGTGCATCCTACAGACATCTTTTCTCTTATGTCACCAATTTGCCTAATGAAATACATCCTTTGATTTCTTAACTATTGTTTATATGAGCATTGATTATGGATCCAAGAAAAATTAAATCCTCAACAGTTTCAGTCTTTACTTTGTCTATCATGATTTCATCTCTTGGTTCAGTTGTGAGGATTTTTGTTTTATTAACATTGAGTTGTAATCTGTAGTGAGGCTGCAGTTCTTATTTCCTCATAAGGGCTTCGATTTCTCTTCACACTTCAACAAAAAGAATTGGTTGATGCTCACTCATTACAGGATGTATCATATGATTAAGACTAATTGTACTGAAGGAAGAATTTTAAGCTGCCACACTGGCAGCATTTTTGAAAAATGAGACTCACAACTTTATGGAATATCAATTGATTTCAACAGATTGATGCAACAATGGATGCGCTCACTCATTTATGCCAGGAAATTTGGACGACAACCTCCTGAGCTACTGGATAACAAAATAGAAGAGATCTTTATTTGTTCCCATTCTAAAGGAAGATGAATCAATTGATTATTGAAATTATAGAACATTATCATTATCACTAATATCACAGGCAAGTAAATTTTTGCTGAAGATAATTTTAAAAATGATTGCAACAGTACCTCCAGACAGGGAGCTGACAGAGTTTCTAGGCAAATTTAAAAGAGGATGAGAAGTAAGCAAAATCATTACTATGTCAGATGAGTCAGGACTCAAAGCAGAGAATACCAGTAAGATGTTTATCAATGTTGTTTTTTACAACCATGCAAAGGATTTCAACTTTAGATTATAACAAATGAGTGATATTCTGTGGAATGAGAAATCTAGAACACTTGCTTATGTGCGTCTTTTTTCCCAACAGTTTATGTTAATTAGGTGAAGGTTTACAGGCCAGATCATAGTTTTATATTCAACATTCCGATTCAACTCGTCCATTGCAGTCCCCTCCATGGGCCTTCTACCTACCCACTTCCTCTTTGTGTTTCTGGGGTCTGTTCCTCCTGCTTTCGTAACTCTCTGAACTCTGCCCTTGGGTAAATGCTGCCCTTTTTGTTTCAAATGATTGAATGTTCTAATACAGAGGTGAATTCAGTTCCAAACCTAAAGGGTCCTGTTGGCAGTCTTAAGGGTCCCACCAATCTCTAGCGGCAGCAATCTCTTGGCCAGCAAGCCTAGTCTATTTTATGATTTTGAGTTCTGCGTCACATCCCACCCCACCACCCCGCCCCACTCTATGCAAGGAATGTGATCCTTTTCAAAGCAGTTGGTAGCAGTAGTTGGGCATCATTTAGTTTCTCTGGTATCCGTTTTGTGGAAACTGTTATTGGCCTGGTTCATGAGTTCACTGGACAATTATGTTTCCCCGTGTCTTTAGATTTCCTCACTCTTCTTCCCTCGGAAAGGGGAGAGACCAGGAGTTGTACCTTCGATGACTGACTGCCCAGGAGCGTTTAAGACTTCAGTTTCTACTCACCAAATTGAGACGTGGAACATTGCCTTTGTGAACTATGTTATGCCAATTGGTGTCCCAAGACTAGTCCTCATGCCACGGCACTGGTGCCCAGTAGATCTGAACAGCCACCCTGGCAGGTAGCAGGCCAGGGTCTGTCTCACTGCACCATCAGGGCTCCTTTTACCAGATAACTCGTGAACTTCAAAGAACCAAAAGACCAAACTCACTACCACCACGAGAACCGTAAATAACCCGCTTTCTCAGTGGCAAGTTGGGTACCACGTGCCTACAAGCCCACGTGCCTAGCCAAGCCTGACTGCCGTTCCTAGACCTGTCTCCCTCTCCCCACCCCCGCCCCCAGATCCCACCGCCCCGCGTTCCACCCCTCCCGACGCGCACCGCGGCGTGCTGCGCGGGGCGGTCTCCGGAAGCCTGTTGCCAAACACAAAGGACGCCGCCCGGCGCGGGGGTGGAGCGATGGGCGCCCCCTGAGGCCTAAACCTGCCCCCGGGCCGGCGCGCGGCGAGCGGGAGAAGTGGGCTCCGCAGGTACATGGGGTCGGGGCTGGGATTCCAGGGGCGCAGCCCTTCGGTGGCTGCAAGGGTAGGCCGGGGGGCGTGCGCATCTCCTCGGGGTGGGCGCCCTGGCCGTGGGCGCCCCGGAGGGAAGCGCGCGTCCGGGGTCCGGGGAGTCGGCAGGTAGGCTGGGAAGTGTCGAGCCCCCAGGCCTCTTCGCCAAGCCGCCCGGCCGCCGGGTGCTCGGTGTGCCCAGTGCCGGGGCCCGTACGCCGCCTGGCATCTTCGGCTCGCCTTCGTGCACAGCTAGAGTGGCTTCTCCCGGGATGGGGGCCAAGTAAGTTAGTCTTACTTTGTGCGGCAAGTCTAACACGGTGTCCTGTACCTCCCTCTTCCTCCCCCCCCCCGACATTCTGGAGGCCTGAAGGCTAGGGTGTCATTGAAAAATAACCTTGCTGAGGGTAGCTTGGTGGCTTGCCGTGGGTAGTGTTTAAAATGTACCTGATCCCCTGGATTCGCTGCTGCTTGATCAGATCGTGAAAAAAAAAATAGGCCTTAAAATACCGCCTGAGTTAAAAGTGTGTGCTGTTGGAAATAGAGTTCGCAATTCCAAGACAGTGTTGGGAAACTGACTCCTCCGTAAAAGCACTACCAGGGCCCCTCGATAATCTGTGGTTTTCTAGGTGTCCTGCTGTAAAGTGCCAGGTTTTTTTTAGTTTTTGACCCCACGCGTCCAGTCTCTTCACTGTTCCCCTGTCACCTGGAACAGGGAATTGACCCTCTGAGAATGAGTGTTGAATTCCACAGACGGAATCCCCTATAAATAATGATTGTACTACACATGGGAAACTTTTTAAGACTAACTTGATGTGTTGTAATAAGATTTTGCACTTCAGGATATTATTTGAAGTAAGGGATAAGAGGATATATGTTGTTAGTTTTCTCCATTCTACTCTTTATTTACAGAGGTCCTCTGCCTTTTAAATGTGCTCAGTCCCAAATCCCAAATAGGGAAACCAGTGTTTACATCTTCCAGAGAGTCAAATAATGACAAAGAGCACAGAATTCTTCTGGGAAGGGCTAGAGAGATGGAAATACTGCCCTCAGAAGTAGTTGGAAGATTGTCAAGAAAGAATAGCTTCACATTTTGATACTTATGTTTATTTACCCTCATAAGCCCATGCATATGTGAACTAGAACCCTCTAACAATACTTTTTGCTGAACCCACTGTCATTATGTCAATTGTGATTCCTAGTGACCCTATATACAGGACTTCCGAGATTGTAAACCTTTATGGAATCTTCAAGGTGCAATAGTGGATTTGAACCACTGATCTCTGTGGTACCGGCCCTACACCTAACTCACAGTGCCATCAGAGCGCTTTTACCCACATATATGCACTAGCATCAGTAAATTCCAACTCACAGTAGTAATACTACAGGGTAGAGTAGAATTCTTGGAGGTTTTGGAAGCCATAAATCTTTATGGGAACAAATGGCCTCTTCTTTTACAGAACAGCTAATGGATTATTTGGAATCACTGACCCTTTTTGTTAGCAATCCAAAGAATTATCTCCTACATCATCAGGGCGGCTTTTACTCACATGTACTTACTCTAGAATTTTCTCCCAGTCTCTTGGTTATCTTTTTATTTGGGTGACAAATTCCTTCTGTTAACTCACTACTATGGAGTTAATTCTGACTCATAGCGCCCCTTTAATTTTGAGGTGATTCCATTTACCTATTTTACTCTTTGTTGCCTTTCAAGAAATTTTTACTGAGCACTAAATCTTGAAGCAACACCCCACAGTTATTTTCTAAGAGTTTCATGGTTTTGAGTCATACACTGAAGTCTTTGACCCATTTTGAGATTTTGTACATGGTGTGAGGTAAGATCTATCTTTATTCTTTGCATGTGTCAATACAGTTGTTCCAGTTCTATTTATTAAAGAGACTGAACTCCCCCTCCCCCTTCACTGGAGTTAGCAATGCTGTTAATTAGTTGATGGTAGATGTGTACATTTAACTGGGTTTTCACTTTTATGCCACTAGTTGTCTATCTGATACTAGTTACAAGCTGCTTTAAACACTGTAGCTTTCTTATATGATTTTGTATCAGGAAACAAGAGCCCTCCTACACTATTCTTCTTTTACAAGTTTACTTTTGCTATTTGTAGTCAGTCAGTCCTTTACAGTTCCATATAAATTTGAGGATGATTTTTTTTTGACTTCTGAAAAGGCCATTGGAATTTTATGGTGGTTATATTGAATATCTAAATTGCTTTAGGTAATATTGACACTATTAAGTCTACTGATCCATCGGCATGAAATGGGCTTTCATTTATTTAGGTCATCTGTAGTGTCTCCTGGTAATGTTTTACTGTGTTTGTGTCCTGCACCATTGTTTGCGTGTATTGGGAAAGCAGGCTGCATAATAAACCTCTCACATTTTCCATGAGTGTTTCATGTGTGCATTGTAACCTTTGGGTTTAAGAATTTTAATTTTGTCAAAATAGTACACTCAATCATTTAAAATTCAAATGTTCAAGAGGTACAGGTAGTCTCCAACTTACAAATATTCAAATTATGATGAACTACACTTAATGGATGTTTGGTGTTTGTTTTGTTTGTGGTATACGTTATTGTTAGGAATATGTACTGTATATAATGCTGCAGTATATTTAGCTGATGTTATTCTTTGCAAATATTCATTCACAGATGCTCAGTATTTTGGTTTACTGTTCAAAACACTGATGTATAGCAGGCTATGGCAATAATCATGAAAGCTACAAAAAACAGGTATTTTACTTATATCAGAACCCACTTATGTTGGAGTTTTGGGAATAGAAACCCATTATAGGTTACGGATTACCCGTATATTGAAAATAGCAAGCCACTGTTTCTGTTTCTTTTCGTTGCATCCCACTTTGATTATTATAAACTTTTCCTCTTAATACCTTTATAGAAAAGAGACACTAAGCAATCAATATTTTAAAAAAACAATTTAAAATAATTTCCTTTAATATATAAAGAATATACACAACACACAAAAAAGTCCAATCAAGTTCTCACTTTCAGAGACAACGAAGGTGCATTCAAGGTTTAGGGGAGAGTAAAAAAACCAAACAAACCAGTTGTTTCTCAGTACTCAGGGAAAGGTGATGTAGGATACAGAAGGACACAGAGCATGATTGGGCCCGGGTTGCTTTTCGTCCTGGGGTCAAGCAGGGCCTAGTTCTCCCCCAAGGGAAAGTGCTGGTTTTCCCTGTAATGGCCCTGACTTTGCTCCCATGCTCACCCTCCAGTTTTCCGAAGTCATCCAGCTCTGAGGAGGAGCCCTTCTTGTCCTAGCTTGTGGCCGCCAGGTCGGGGTACCAGAGGAGTTGTCATTCTGCAGGATAGTTAGTGGGGGTCTCCCTAGGACCTTGCTATTTGGTTTCTACCTATTATATTTGAAACCTGAAGATTGGGGAGTCTCAGGGCCTCTCCAGGGCTTGTCTGAACCCTGTGGGCTGTTCTGCTTCCACTGTGGAAAACACCTGTTTGGAGAGGAGTACAGTGTGGCTCAGAGATGGTATCCAATCCCCAGGAGATAATTGGGTGTCCAGAGGCAAGTCTAATTTAGGAGATGATGTTATGTCCAGGGGCAGAGCAGACTCTGGGGAAAGATTTTATTTGGGAACTGACATCACTCAGCTGCTTCACAAGTGGGCCTGGAAGTTCAGGTGTCTGTCTGCACAAGGCCAAGTGTAGGAGAGCTGGCATTGGAGACCTGCATCATATTAGGCCCCTCCAGCTGTATTCATAATGGTAGGCCTGTCTGTGGAGAGCTCTCTGCCTGTTAGGACCACCAGCTAGGACATCTTTGGGCTCTAACTCTGCCCTATCTCCAGGCCCCTGGCCTCAGGCAGACATTCCAGGGAGGAAGTTAAAGTCCTTAGACCTTCAGTCTACTCTACACAGACGTGAGAATGTGGAAAATAAATTCTCAAAGTAGGGATGGTAGAGAGCAGGAGAGCTTACTCTGGGCCAAGTGAGGCTGAGGCCCAACAATTCAGTACTCTACTCCTCCACGCCTGGCCCAGAGTACCTAGATGGGAGTGCCCAAGATAACGGCACAAGGGTCCAATACTTGTGCAGTGGAAACCATACAAGTGACTAGGATGTCCTTGGCTAAGGTCATCTCTACCAGGAAAAATGGGCTGGAGTTGGGCCTAACTCATAGTGAGGTTGCCTGCAAGAAGCGACTCAGGTCTTAGCCCCTACTGTGACCATGTCCGAATTTAACCCCAGATCACCCAGTTTTCCTAGTTTCCAGTCCAGGAATCTCCCAGCCTTTGTGCTAGAGGGCTCTGCTGAGATAATGACTAGTGCAGCTGACAAAGAGGGACCTTCTGGAATTTCTAATCATTGAAATCTCTTACTGGACCCCAAGGCTATCTTTTGTTTCTAGGCTTACACTTCCCCCTTCGCCCTAGGCTTACATTTTTAAATAAAGCATTAAACAGTGATTTTTGTGGTTTTTGCTTTTTTTTTTTTTAAGAAAGTGACCGTGTCAGAGTATGTACTTTTATATCTTATTTAAATATGATTTCATTTTTCCTTGTAATAACTTTATTACACTTAAAGCACACGTGTCTTGAAAAGATGTTATGGTTATGTGCCATCAAATCAGTTCTGACCTATAGAAACCTCTGCACAACAGAACAAAGCACTGCCTGGTCCTGTGCCATCCTCACACTTAGTCTTATGCGTGAGTCCATTTTTGCAACCACTGTGTCAATCTGTCTCCTTCCTCTTTTTCCTGCCCCTCCAGTTTACCAAACATAATGCCCTTCTCCAGGGATAGGTCTCTTCTGAAAACATGTCCAAAGTATGTGAGACAAAGGCTTACCATCTTTGCTTCTAAGGAGCACTTTAGCCGTATTTCTTCCAAGACAAATCAATTTGTCCTTTTAGCAGCCCATGGTACTTTCAGTATGTATCTCTAGCACCACAATTCCAATGTATCATTTTTTCAATTAAAAAGATAG